TGTGTGTGTGGTGTGTGGTGTGTGGTGTGTGTGGTATGTGTGTGTGGTGTGTGTGGTATGTGTGTGTAGTGTGTGTGTGGTGAGACCTATTCTGCAATGGACGCTGTGACATGGTGATGAGGTGCTGACAAGGTGAAACCAAGGTCGGCACAGCTGCTTTGTGGACCCGTCCAGGGGCCTTGGGGTTTTGCTGGTGGTGTGCTCTCTGTGTAGCCAGATGTCAACACCACACCCTACAGGGTCCTCTCACTGGCCACTTTTCAGGCCAGGGCACCTGGGCAGCTGTGTCTTCACAGAGGGGTCACAGCTCATGGGTGCTGCTGGGCCCACGGGCCACCAGGGGCTGGCGTCACCTTGGGGAAGGGTCTCCTTCCACGCCTCCAGGTCCAGGCGGGGGATGCTGGCGCAGGGGACAAAGTCCTGAGGGAATGTCCCGGTGCGGAAGGCGTCCACGGGCACGCTGGTGAGGCCAGTGTTGTCACAGAGCACCCGGGGCAGTGAGTGCTTGCCCAGCTCCCGCCTCTGAGCCTCCGTGAAGACCGCACTGTTCTCCCACCAGAACCTGCATGGGGTGGGGAGCATGAGCTGACCAGTGGACACTCTGGCCCGCTTCTGTCTCCTTGGCAGGACCAAGCAGGAAGGCCAGGTGGGGGACGAGGAGGGCCCCAGCCCTGACGTGGGCCCGTCTGTGGGGCAGCATGGGATGGACACGGTTCTCCCTGCCAATCTGGCTTGCTGCAGTCAGCCCAGGGTGCAGATGCAAGCGTGGCCAGGCAGACGGCCATCAGCACCCACTGCTGCCTAGACTGCAGCCAGGCTCACACCTCCTCCTCTAGGCAAGGGTGGTCAGGGAAGTCGGCCTGTTAGAGATAGCCTCACTTTCCTAGAAGACAGTAACACCATGGACACAGCCCAAGAGCAACTGACCCGAGTGCACCACATGGGACATTCCCTTCGAATGGGAGAAGGGCCTCAATCTACGCTTGAGCAGAGTCTGGATTGTGAGACGTTCAGTCATGAAGGCTCAGGACCAGAATCATTCAGACCGCAGACCTGCAGCTGGCTCTGGACCTGAGGTCCTGCAGCACCCAGCTGAGCACACGGGCCACTACCAAGTCAGGGGCTCTCAGGACCTAGGGTACCCCAAACCCCATGAATGTGAAAGATACACATTTCAGGGAGAATATTCTCCTAGTTACTTCTGCCCAGATATTCTCAGGTATTTGAAATGCTGCATCTCAAAAATTAATGGCAAAATTTGTATTGGAAAGAAGGACTGGATCCTAAGTATGTGGCTGATTCCTCTCTAAAAAGAACTTAGATATGCTTGGAAACAATTTGATTTAGGGAGAGAGAGAGAGAGAGAGAGAGAGAGAGAGAGAGAGAGAGAGAGAGAGAGAGAGAGAGAACTGCAGGTGAGAGGGTCACCATATATATCATGGCTCTTTTCTGGTCATTCCCAACAACACAGGTGTTCTAAGCCATGTGGGCATCAGTCTCAGTGCTGTGTCGGCAGCTGAGTGAGGTGTGGAAACAGCTGGCCTCTCGGACTCCAGTTGTGCAAGGTTCAGAGCTCTGGGCTGCAGCAGAGGAGGGCACAGCATGGGCTGGGCTGGGCTGTGAGTGCAGCTTGGTTGAGCTGCAGGGTGGAACCCGAGGTGGAAAGGTGGGTGGCCTGTCCATGCAGCTGCAGCCTGCTCCTGGGCTCTAGGTCTGGCCTGGGCCTTGGCACCCGTCAGTCCACCTCTGCAGCTTCAGCAGCTATTTCAGAGAATGCCCAAAGGTGGAGCAGTTTCAGGTTGTCATGAAAGACAGTTTGATTTTCATTCCCTGCTGCTTGTTTGTGAGATTAGAAATGYGGGAGATCAGCCTGCAGGAATTCACATTTTAAGTGCTTAGGTGCTGAGAGCCATTGCCAAGTAGGAATGACGCATGGCAATTTCTTTGTCAGCCTACTCCATGTTGCTTAGAGGAAGGACTCTCCATTGTGGAAATGGGCTTGCCTTTGGACCCAGGTCATTTGCAGTGACATTGCATGTATGCTTGAGTAAGGTGACCTTGCTCAAGGACCAGGGCGGATCCAGGTTTAGGGTGTATCCTGCTGGGATTAGGGGGTATCCCGCTCCTTGGGTTTAGGGTGGTTCCAGGTTTAAGGTGTACCCTGCTGGGAATAGGGCGGATCCTGCTGCCTCAAGCACCCGCCTGCTCCTTGAGTTCCCATTGAGTTCTCGCGGGATTTAGAAAGTATTTGGGATTCAGAGCCTGGTGGAGTACGTGAATTTTGCCCAGAACGTGAATTTTGCCCAGAACCTGTGTGTAGAGTGCTGGTGACAGTTCGAGAATAAAGAGTTGCTGTTTGAATCTACAAGGTGTGAGTGGCTCGTGATTTTGTGCCCAGCCAGACTGCGGCACTTAGGATATCCTCATGCCTCATTCTCCTTTCCTCATTGTATAGTGGAGGAAACTGTGATTGACAGATGGCCTGCCCAGGGTCACTGAGTACTGGGAGTGGAGCCAGTATTTGAGCCAGGCCTGGCCGCTTCACCCAAGGCCAGTATGCAGAGGACTGGGGTGTGGCTCAGTGGCAGTGAGCTTGTCTAGTCCCCCTGAGGCCCTGGGCTGAACCCCCGGATGGCGGGACCAGCAGTGCCCCTGTGGAGCAGCAGCTACGGGACAGAGGCTTGCCACACGCACCTACCTGTCCCCATCTCTCAGCGCCTTCATCTGCCTCCCAATGATGCACGCAAAAAGGGGACCCGTTCGGGCCCTGGGCAAGAAGTCCTCCACTAGGCCACCCAGCCAGACGTCGATGTTGTCTGGATGCTTGTACAAGTCCATTAGCTTGCGGACAACGCTCCTGTTGGCAATGGCCCTGCTCAGGTCGGCTGCGGTCTCTAGCCGAGGCAAGCCACAGAACTCTCTCCATCTGTTGTACCCTACAAGAAAGAGGGGCCTGATTCACCAGGGTCCCCACTAGCTGCCCTGTCCTCACCCCCAGATGCAGACAGACCAAAACATCACCCTTTAGAGCTCAGTAGGCTTGGGCACAGGCTCAGTCCTCCAGAGGGTCTGTTCCTAGGTGAGTGGAGGCAAGAGCCAGGCATCTGCGTGGAAGCAGGGCATTGCGCGCTCCATTCTCTAGGGAGGGGCCCTTCCTCTTCAGGCCTGTGCCCGAAAGGCCCCCAGGAGCACAAGGGAACCTGGCTCCCTCCCTGCCTTACATGCACACACAGGGAAGTGGACACACTGTGAGCTAACCTGCTTTCCCTCTGACCTATCATCTCTTGCACTGAAGACCTCTCAGCACCCCTCTCCCACACCACTACCCCTGGCTCCAGGAGAATCTTCCCACAAGGAAGATAGGGCCCTGCGCTGGCGTGGGCCCAGCTTTTCCCGTTGACTCCCTCTGCACTCATCATGTGCCCTGAGCTGCTCCCACTCTCTGGGAGCCCTCTGGTGCATGCTCCAGCTTTGCTGGGCTGCTGCCTGCTCTTCCTGGGTCCTCACTAGGCCCCACTGGCACCTGCCTTCGGTCCCATCCTATTCATCTTGGTTCAGCCTCTGCCTTCTGCAGCCCCCGAGTGATTAACTTTGGAACTACTCCATGCCAGGCTACGCAGCAGCTCATGCCCTCTTGCCTGCTCCTCTGCCTTCTACAGGTGCCAGGCCTGTGACTATTCTGACGTTGGTGCCTGGCACATTATGGGCACTCAGCAGTGCTAAGTGCACACACAGATGCATGGAGGATGAGGCTGCTGAGCCATGGTGGGAACCCCTCAGCTCCCTGCCTTGGGGCGCAGAGTCACCTTGGGCCATTTCCTGCAGGTGGCTGGAGTGGCCTCTTGRGGTGCAGGGAGCAGAGCCTCAAGAGCCCGGGTTTAGGGGCTGGCAGCAGATTTCATTTCAGGTCCGTCCCTCACAGGACAGCTGGCTGATCTGGCCAGGCACGCAGCAGGCATGGGCATGGGGTCTGAGGACACCAACAGACCTGGCAGGCCATGGTCACGGCCCCTCTGCAGGTTCAGTGACGCCAGATCCAGGGCGCCCGGCTGCGCCAGCACGAAGAGCCTTTCGGTCAGGTCCTCATTCATCAGCTGGTCCTGCACCTGCAGCTTGGCTGGTCGTGCAAGAAGGCCTCTCACTACGGGGTCCAAGCCACCTGGGAATGCGGTATAAGAGCCAAGGAAAGTCTGTACTAAGTCCCGGAGAAGCGGTTCTCCATCATCAAGCACCTTTGCAACAAATGTGCTTGTGTCAGTTGATGAATCCCCTTCTGAGAGTCAGGGACTTCCAGAGACTCTCAGGGTGGGCCTTTGGTGGTGGGTTAGCTGCAGACCTGGCACTGACCACACCAGGGTGGAGGATGGGCCTTCAGAACCCACGGGACCCTGGCAGTGGGCCCTGGCTGCTGAAGTTTTTCCTTCTGCTCATCGTAGCAGAAGCTTTGCCACCCAAAGAAGCCTTGGCCAGACTCTGCTGGCTGGAACAGTAAGAAGAGGACATTGCTGGGCCCCAGGAGCTGCAGGGACTCAGGGCCCCATCCTGTCACCCYAGGCCTGGGGTCTCCTCACAGCAGGTGATGGTGGAGACAGACTAGAGCCTCTGAGGTCCCCCCCCCATGTCATGTGAATCCAGTGACATGTGATAGTCTGCCAAGGGCCAGGAGGTCTCATGCTTCCCCCCAACACTAAGCAGCATTCATGATGTGCCTCTGCCTGTGTGGAGTGAGCTGGAGAGACCCTTGGCCTCACCCTACCAGCTCTGCTCAACAGCATTTTGTTTAAACAGGGGACAATGAGCCTACTGTCACCTGCCAGCCTCTGTCACCTAGTCACCACTACACCCAGCACCCACTTGGAGTCACCAACTTGTGAGTTTAGAATCAACAGTTCAGAACCTTCCAGACAGACAGAAGAACACAAGGAAAAGAGAGAGAGGAGATGAAGGGAAACTGCAAATGGCCCTCCCAAGCCCAACCAGGGAATGAAAGTGTCGCTCTGAATGACTCATGGCTCAGCTACCTGGCTGTCAGCACCCTGAGCTCACTGCCCTGACCTTAACCAGGGGACTGTCAAAGCCGAGCAGGGGGAGTCATGCCAAGTGCCCAGGATCTTTAGAAATGACAGAAAAGGATCTGAGCCACAGTCCCCTTCTCTTCCTGCACACCACCAGGAGACCGAGGCTCTGCGGGGGCCAGGTGGCCTCTGACAGCTCGGGGCAGAGCAGTGTCCCTGGGCAGGAGGAGGACGCACCTTCCTGGATGAGCCTCCAGGGGCTGAAGAAGGCGTCCCGAAGAGGCAGCCTGGGCAGGCCGGGGTGCTCCTGGAAGCCCGCCTCCAGCCGCCTCACCAGCGGGTGAACTGCAGCGTGGCCGAAGCGGAAGGCAGCCGTGGAGAAGACGTTGGACACGGTGGGGTTCSTGGTGGGGTCGTAGCCTTCATAGGGGCCGACGTACTGCCCGAAGGCCTCAGGACCCAGAATCCTGGGGACGTAATCCCGCAAGGTGATGATCTGTGCAGAAAGACGGCAGGTGAGTTTCTGACAGGGGTTGTGGTGAGCCCAGGGCTGCCCCGGTCAGATGAGGGTCAGAGCCAGCCACCGGGAAGAACAGCTTCCGGAACATCCCAGAGCCCAAGGTCACGGCGACAGCTGGGACAGCAGACAGGGCCTGCCGAACTCTGCCAGACATAGGTACCGAGTGGAAACACCACCTCCCTAGGGCAGCCCCTCCACACCCCAGAGCCGTCCCTGAACCCAGCAGGCCTCCAGCAGGGCGAGCCTGGCAGAACTGGAAGAGGGCACTGCCATGCCACTGCCTGCAGAATCACGGAAATGTTGCTTGGGACCCGGCTTTCTCCCTGGACCTCCCTGGGCCCAAGAGCAACCTCTCCACCCTAGACCCGACCCGTAATCAGAAGCCCCATCCCTCTCCGGGACCTGGGCCCTGGAGGCTCTGAACCCTGGTGGCCCTGAGTCTCAACAGGCCTGGTCCTGAGCTGTGTGGCTCTGAGGAGCCTTTCATTCTCACGGGAACACCCTCCTTCAGAAGGTTTTTGTGGGAACATGAACTTGTGTCCACGGCTTTATGTACACCGGCGTGTTACCTGGCAGCCCCTATAGATATGACACACAGTGGATCCAGACAGTGGGTCAGTGTGTGCTAGCAAAGCCCTCTGGGCAGAAAGGAAATGGCAGGCAGRCCCGGGACTGTGTGTGCCCTGGACACCTGACCTCAGAACTCAGGTAGGAGCCAGGACGCCCGTGAGACCTTCTGAACTACCCCCAGCAACACCCTTCGCTCTTTGGGCAGGATCCCAGACGTAACATGGTGGGGGTCTCTCCTTCCTCTCTGGCAGGGCTCTGCTGGGGTCCACCTCCCAGAGCTGCTCCCTGTGTTGCCTCTCCCACCCAAATTCCTGCTCCTGGTGGTCCTTGCCGAGGCTGGGGGCCTGGACGTACGGGAAGGCATCTCTGTGCACATAGGTGCTAAGTATTTGGACACCTTTGTGGAGGTCGGTCAAGGTATGTGAGACCCTCCTGTGGCCCTGCCTGACTTCTGGATGCTCATGCCCCTCTTCCTCCCAGAAACTCAAGGACTGATGCCCGGCTTGGGGATTCTAGGACCTGGGATTGCCACTGGTGCCTGGACCCACCGTTCATCAAGTGGTGTGCTCCTGGACAAGGCTCACCTTCCTCAGAGGACCTCTGAGGGTAAAGGGCAACACCAGGTGTCTACCCAGGGCCTGGCCCAGAGGACCCTGCAGAGAGCCACTGCTGGTGGAAAGCCGTGCCGCGGTCCTCCTGAGAAGCCAGTGAGACCCAGAGCCAGTGACCGCATTTCATAGTTGACCTTCCTAAAATCACAACTAGTACCTGGCCTACTGAAACCTCCTTTCAAGACCCTCTGATTCTGTATTAAACCATAAAATGAAGAGAATCAAACTGGACTTTTGGTCTAATTTGCTAATTGAGAATTTTCACACACAAAAATGACTAAGGTCTCTGTTGTTTTCAAAATACAAAAAAAATAAAAAATAAAAAATCAGACTTAGGGCCCCCCCCCCCAGGTGGTGGAGAAGATTTTGGGGGAGGAAGACCAGCACTCATCCTCGGGCTGCAGGCACCAGGACAGCCACCCCCGTGGGTGGGGTGGGGTGGGGTGGGGGTGTGCGCAGGTGGGACAGAGGAGCCCAGAGGGGTCCTCCACATCCTGAGTGGACCCCGCCCAGATGCTGGGGCACAGGAAGAGGGGTATCCACCTGACCTTGCCTGAGCCCACTGGGTACCTACTGGAGATGCCCACTGTGACCTTGCCCACAAGGGTGCTCACAGGGCCCTCACCTGCGCCCGTTCTGGGCGTCCACGATGACTTTGTGGACACATCTTGTGAAGCCCTCCCCTGACCCCCCCACGACCTCACCCGCCCCAGATTGGGCGCCCACCATGACCTTTCGACTTATATTTGGGACGCCCAGATGGCCCACCCGGGGTCGGAAGCCCAGGCTGACCACGTTCGCACCTGGTGTAGAGCGCCCACCACCTTGCGCGCCTCCTGGTAGACAGTATCTGCGCTCCAGTGCGCGTTCAGGGCCTTGAGCTCCACGGCCAGGCGGTTGTGCTCCCGCAGCCACAGCGTGTGCAGGGCCGCCAGGGCAGGGACCTCGCTGGCACGGCCATCGCCTGCCAGGAAGCAGGGGGTGCGGGCAGCTCCGGAGGCGCCAGGTGCTGGCGCGCAGGCGGCGGGTGCACGCGGCGGCACGAAGGGCAGGTAGGCGCGGCCTGCGTCCTGGTGGCGCGTGTTGACCCGGAGAAGCCCCATGGCGCTGGTCCAATTGCGCAGCTGCTTCTCTGCGCCTGGAGAGCTGCCATACACCGTGGACGCATCCAGGAAGGACGTCAAGGCGTTCATCTGCTGCCGCGGGTTGGCCATGGACAGGTTGCCGAAGAGAGCACCCTGTTCCCCGGTGCCACAGGCAGCGGACGAGCGGTAGAAGGGTAAGCACGCGGTGCCAGCGGCCAGCGAAGTATTAAAAGAAAGCTGTGCCAGAGGGGAGACGCGGGTCACCTCGGCCCTGGACCCCTTTTGAGGACATTTGTAGGCTCAAGCAAGGCAAGCCCACCAGGCCGGGCATCTTGGTACTCAACCCAWCCTCTTCCTGCTGTGGCCTGGGCGTTTACCCTCCTAGCAGGGAGAGGCAGGGCCTGTCGGATGTGGAACCCACCCCAGGCAAGCGTGTCCTGGTCCCTGAGACCCTTTGCTTGGATCCAGCCCTCCCTCACGCTCACACCTGTCCTGGCCACTGGTTCATTGTCTGTCTTGGAACTGCAACTTCTCCTCCCCTTGGGATGTCAGTGTTCAGGTGCGCTGTCATGCACTCACCTTGGAAGCTTCTTGTCTAATCAGTTGTGAAGCGATGAGTGGGAATTACTGCTGAGGGACCCTCCCAGGTACACACCCCACAGGCACAGTGCAAGTGGAAGCCCGCACTCACAAGCAGGGGGTGCGGCCCACGGGCACCAGCAATGCCTGAGGATGCAGGAAATTCACAGCAGCTGCCCCCCACCCCGCCACACACCACACAACTGCATTCCACTGCATACTTTTCTGTTTACGTTTTGAATGCACATGTTAGTTTCATAATGGAAATTAAAACTTTGGGAAATCACCTGTATGGGGAAGCAGGGGCCTCGGCTCTCGCAGGTCAGCTGGCAATTAGCTCCTCCCCAGGAGGGAGTGGAGCTGGTGCTCTGAGGTGTGAGTGCAATGTCGTGATCGATGTATTGTCCCCACACAGTCAGGAAATCAGAGTACTGGTCATCTTCTGTCACTGCCTCATTTGAAACTTGGATAACTTGCCTTGTCACCTCCCGAACCTGGGTGAGAAGAGAGTGGTTTGTCGTGAGGCAGCAGCCTACAGATGAGGTCTGAGACCCCACGTTCCATGATGGCTGTGTGTGCTGTGGGAACCTGCTCCCTGTGGGCAGGTGGGAACAGCTGAGCTGGAAGACAGGCACAGCTGGACTTTGGCACCTGCCACCCCTGGTGGTGACTGTAGGCACATGCCGGCATGTTTAGTTTCCTCATCTCTAAGTGGACCTAAAAGGAGGAGCTTTGGGGATGCTATGGGAGTCATGTGAATGACATTTGCAGGACATCTAGCTATTAGCATGAGGTATTGCAGGACACTGGTCCTTGAGTGGCTGAGGCTCATTCCCACTGCAGCCACACGAGGTGGTTTTTGTCCTGGCTTGGGGGTCAGTGACTCCTGATTTTTCCCATTTCTTCCCTTCTGAACTGTGATGTCTGCAACTGCTCTCTTGTACCTGTCCAGCCAGTGTATTTTGGAGGCAGACAATTGGTTTTCACAGGTCCAGATGCAGAGGAATTTTGTCCCCAGGTGGAACCCACCCAGAGCCTCCCTGTCCCTGATTTGGAGGATTTAGATGGAGGGACTGGGACTGGAGTTTGCACTTGAGTTGATGCTGTGGGGATGCAAATGTGTTTTGCATGGGGAATGCATATGAACACTCAGAGTGGGAGGGTGGACTCTGGTGGGCAGAATAACATCCCCCCAAGATGTCTATTCCTGAATTCTAAAACCTGCAGATGTGACGACGTCAAGGACCTAAGATGAAGGCATTATTTTGGATTTCCAGGTGATTGCAGACTGATAACCTGGGTGCTTAAACCCCAAGTGCCTTTCTGAATGGTCGGAGATGTGGCTTTGAACAGAGGATGCAGAGAGACACACAGTTCAGGCTTTGAGGTGGGAGGTGAGAGCCAATGATTTTGTGTGGACTTGGAAGTTGGGACCAAGGAGGAGAGCTCCCCCAGGCATCTAGAAGGACTCTGGCCTTGGAAGCTGGGGCAAAAAGGAGAATCTCTCAGAGGACACTGGCCTGTAGTAACTTTGGCTTCAGCCAGAGGCCCACCAGAGACCTTAGACCTACAGAACTGGAGGATAATCAGTTTGTATTTTTTAAGTCATTTTTGATAGAATAATGTTAGAATAGGAGTAGAAAACTAACATGTTGCACATTTGAACATATTTGAGCTCTGATTCTTCTAGATGATTGTGTATATGAGCAACTAGGGGTTTGTAGAATCAGAATATCATAGTGCATTACAGCTCCAGGACTCTAGGATTTGAACTGGTCCAGTGCCAAGATAGGTAAAGCCTTACCCCATTTCATGGAGAGTCTGCATGAGGCTGAGGGGCAAGTGCCTGGCAGGCAGCTGAGGGTGGAGCAGAGCCCATTCCTGGGCCTGCTGCCCAGTAAGGCCCTTCCTCAGTGAGTCCCTGCACATCTCCCACTGCCCTCCCCATCTTTAGGGAACACTCTGTCCTCTTACTAAGCTGCCAGCTGGAAAACATCCATGTCAAGTGGTCTGTCTCCACAGGAGAGCTCCAGATGGTGGGCAGCCCAGCTGGTGGCCCCTGGCTCCTAGACAGTGCTCTCTGTGCTGAGCACAGCCCCCCTGCCGGGAGCCGGAAGGGCACCAGCATGGAGCATGCACAAGAGTGACAGGCTGGGTTGCCCAGCGGTTGGAGCATCCAGTGGGGCACAGTGACCCACATCTGGACAAATGCCTCTTAGATGGGGTATGAGTGTGCTTCACAAATACACACACCTCTGGGAGTGAGGTGGAGGCCATCCTCCTCACCTAAAGAGGAGGTTAGCTTTGGAGCAGGTGTCTTCCACCTGAGGAACASAGGACTTCATCTGACAACACTCCGTGCTGTTGAGATGGGAAGTGCTGGAGTCGGGTGAAGCTCAGCTACATCTACCTGTTCCGCTTGCTAGCTGAGCAGTGCTCCTAAGCTTTTCCATGGAGCCGTGGCCCAACCTCCCAGGGGTTGGAGGACCAGCTGGACTGGTGTGGTACCAGGCCTGCTGTGCCTAGGCCCAGGGTCCTAGTGGGCGTGTGAGCATTGTGGGAACCCGACTCCCAGCCGATGAAGCAGCACGTCAAGGACTAACCGGGGGCAGTGGAAACCCATGGTGTAAGAAGCCGGGGTTCCAGCCTCGGGGCTGACTGAAGCCATCTTCATAGACTGGAGGGAGCCATCTGGCCAGGGCTGTGTTGGCGGCCCCCCATCTGGGATGGTCCCTGTGGAAATGAGCGTGAGGATGTGTCTGAGATGGGAGAAGAAAGAAAAAGCATTGTCCCCAACACAACATTCAGTGCTCAGTAAGCAGGGGGTTCCCTGGACCCTGGCTCAGGGAAGTCTCCAGGCAGGGCACACATGGCCGGTGCTCCTGGGGCTGTGGTGTGGCCGGGTCTGTGGGCCTCGGGGACCAGCACCTGGGTCCACACAGGCTCCCCCTCAGCCAGAATCCCCCAAGCCCAGCCTCCCATGGGCCTTGCCACTGCAGCCGGCAGGGACCTTCTTCCTATTCAGAGGTGGGCTTCTCGCCCTGAGAGGGCATCGCGGTGCTTCCCTGGAGGGTGGACACCTGAGCTGCTCCAAACAGGTGGTTTGAAAGGTGTCCCACTCCGTGCACCTCCCAGGGCCTTGGGGCCTCTCCTGTCTTAGTTGATCAAAAGCACAGTTTCTGTAGAAACTTAGCATCATAGTCCAGTTCAGAGTGAGGTGGTTGTCGGGGAACAGGTGCTAGCACCTTCACTTTAACTAAAAACAGGCCTTTCCTGAGGGACCCTGCAGATCTGGTACCACCACCAGCCCTGCCTCCGAGTGTCTGCGGTTCTCCTCCACCAGAAAGGCAGCACTTAAAGTGCACGCTCTGGCAAACAGTGCTCAATGATGGTTTTATTTTACGACACTTCTGAGTGGGTTGTGTTAGGTAAACACCTCTAAGGAGAAGAGGCTTGGGTAAAATTAAAAGCCACTGGACACATCTTGGAGCACTTTCTGGAAGTTGAGAAATTTAGATATTAATTATTGATTATTGGTTACCAATAATCCTGAAAATTACGTGCTTTTCAATTTTTTTTAACTGAAGAGCCAGTTGATGGAGTTGTTTTCTGACAGAGCAATAGAATGGTTTAATGATAGTTGATTTTATGTTGATTTTCCTACATATCACAGAAAGAATTTTGAGGACCAGGATTCATTTCCAATGAACTTCTGATCCCAACTACAGATTGCAAGCCAGGCTGCTGAGTCTGAGGGCCTGGCAAGTGCTTGCTGTAGAGCCTGGGAGGTCCCGATCCTGGGACAGAAGAATTCATGCTGGAAAAACCTGGGATCTAGAGTTCCTACATCTGGGAACTGAATACTACAATGATCATAGCAAGGTAACTGTTTAACTTGTTAAAAATCTTAAATTTCTGAAATATACTCAAAATGGTTGCTTTATCACTCAATTATTATTTCATTATGGACATAACAACTTATGCATTCTGACCTGGCGATGTGGATGCCTGTCTGGGAGGGAGAGGAGCAACCCACGGCRAGGGATGGCTGGTGAAGTGGCACCCAGGGCCCTTGAGGTCAAGACAGGGTCTGTTCTGGCCTGGGCCCTGGACCCAGCAGGCAGAGCTTCCCTCTGATTGCAGGTCTCCTGATGGAGCGGCAAGGGTCCTCACAGTGAGGAAGAGGATCTTTCTGGTTCCGATGGCTGTGGCTTCATCTGTTCATCCATACAGGCTACCTGGCTGGCGGGGGCACTCCAGGGAGCTGTAGATATTTTGTGTGTCCATGGGGACAGTCAGTGCAGGACAGTTCTATCATTAATATGTTGACGACCTCCATCAAATTGACGAATTCCATCAAGTCGGGCTGGCTTGCAGGGAGGGGTCACTTCCCTCAATTAAAGACAGTAGGATGTGAATTTGCCCCAGTGGTGAGTTTGGCCGATTGGCCCCTAGGTGGCAGCAGTTCACCAGGGAGGTGTGAGAGCCCAGACACCGACACCTGTGGGCACACTCAGCCGGCGTCCCTGGCTCTGCACCCGCACGGCAGACTGCAGGACCCCGGGTGGAGCGCCCCAGTTGCCCACCCCCCTGCAGGCTGTGGAGGATACTCTGATAAGCCCGTCCAGCTACTGAGGAAGAATCTGTGCCCTGGGTGGAGCAAACATACCGCAGGGCGCTCTCCTTCCTCAGGCTGGACCCAGGGCAGCCTGACAGAGGCGTCGGCTGCACTCTGCCCCTTGATGGGAGCTGTCTGTCCAGAGTCCTCGTCCTGCTTCCACAGCTGCCCTGCTGCAGGGACAGCAGCGAGCAGCACACGCCACCCCGCAGAGCCCTGCCTGGCAGGGTGCTGAGACGCCAGCACACCCACAAGGCCTTGACCCCTCCTCATGAGGAGAAGCCTGAGGAAGCATCTGGCAGCCCAATCCGGGCACCTTCTTGGGATGCAGATCCCATTCCTGAGCCTTGCCTGACTCGGGTCCAGTCAGGTAGCTCTCTGGCCTGGAGGGTCCACCTCCTCGTGGGACTCCACGTGTTAGTCAGAGTTCAGTTCCCTCAGGAGGGGAGGGCCCCCCAGGAGCACCCCGGTTGTGCCTGTCATGTGGTATCTGCAACGCCGTCATTGACAGGACCTCTTGTCCCCTCAACCTGGATGCAGAGGCGCGTGAGCCAGCAGGTCCCCATGACGCTGGGTCTTCAGCACCACTGAGTTGGAGAGGGTGGAAGGGACGGGCCTTCCCGCTGTGAGCAGCTTCCCTTTCTTCCAGCCCCACGGGTGGCCACCCTGGAAGGCAGGACGTGCCATCTCCACGCTGCAGCTGGGGACCTGGGGAGAGGCCTGTCCTGATGACAAGTGGCCGACTCAGGTTGGAACCTGGCCAGGTTGCCCTGACCCAGCCTTGGAAAGCTTTTCACACTCCAGGGGCAGTCTTGGTCAAACCTTGGCCTCCAGGACATCCCATGCAGTACAAGAGGATGAGGAACAGCCCTGATCAGACTGTGGCGGAGCTGCACCACACCACCTCCCCTCGCCTGCTACTGTGCCCAGCAGGACACCCTGAGAGTCCCAGAGCTCCATCACTGGTGATGCTACCCTCCAACCAGCTCCCTCCACATGCAGTTGTCCCAGCAGTTCTTGTCACCATGGGGGTGTCTGGAAGCAGGTCGATCTGGGAGGGATTCCGGGGAGAACCTAGGTCTTAGTAGCCCATTTTCTGTTACTACAACAAAATACACCAGGCTGGGTACTTTATAAAGGAAAGGGCCTTAGATGGTGCCCAGTTCTGGAGGCTGAGGACCAGGCAGCACATTGGCCCCACCTCTGACAAGGCCTCTTGGCTGTGCTGCAGTGTGCAAGATGGGATGGAGGCTGGTGGGGAAGCGAGGGAGATCCAGGCTGGCTTGCTCTTCTCACCACAGCTGTTCTTGAGGGAACTAGCCGCGTCCTGGGGCCATGCCCCCAGTGACCTCGTCACTCCACTGGGCACCGCTCACAGAGGTCCCTCCACCTCCCAGTGAGGACCACGCTCTAGCACGCGCACCCCTGGGGCTGCATGTGCCTCACTGAGCTGCAGTCCCAGCAAGTCATGTCCCACCATGACTCTCTTGTGGTTAAAAACACGACTTTCTTGTTCTTGGTATTCAGAATGAAAGTTTGTGAGATTAACACACGGTGGAAAGGTGATCTGACCAGTGTGAAGGGGAAGTGAGGAAGGAAAGAGAAAGGAGGTGGACCTGGGCGATGTGCACTGAAGGGTGCTCAGGCGCCCCAGGACACGGCCGACCCAGGTCCTGGGGATTGCAGGGTAAGACTCTCCAGGGCACCTGGCTCCCCTGGYTTAGTATAAGGGAAGTACTGGGGACTGGATTAGAGCAAGTAACAGTCCACGCTTTTGTAATTGTGTCAAGACGAACCCTAGTGTTATGCATAACTGGAAGGAACCAGCATTCGAAAGGTTCTCGGGATGCATTGATCGTATCTAGCTCCTGCCCCCCAAACAGACAGAAAGCCATGGAACAGAATCTGCACTTTAGCCCCTGCTTCCCGAGGAGGGCGGCTGGCAGCCTCCTCCGTGCCAAGAACTGGGAAGTCTCTGTGAGCCTGGGTCTGCAGAGTCGGCCTCACCTCATCCACCGTACCCTGCGGAGCACACCTGCATCCCCAGCCCTGCAYAGACCTCTCCTCCTCTGCGAGCCTGGAAACCAGCTCCTCTTCCTCTCTGCATGGGCCACACAGTGTTGTCTGTTTCCCCTCCTCACCATGCGTCAGTCCTCGGGGACAGAATCGCAGGCTTGTGCACCTCTGGCAGGCATGTGCAGGGTGCTGTGGTCACCTCCTCACCCCTGTGACAAAGGGCAACTCAGTATCTCCTGCCGGTGTTGTGCTGGGGCTGGCATCCAGCAGCATGGCTGGTGGACGTGGAGATGCAGAACTGGGTCCTTCCAAGTTTCCTCATCTGGACATGGAGGCTGAGCTCTGGACACAGTTTTGGTTCCCACTTCCCAGCCCTGGGCACGTTGGCTTTCCCTAAGGGCCTTTCTGCACTCCCCTCGAAGCTTAGTTACCACGCCTTCCCTTCTGAAGGGCTCCACGTCTGGCTCCAAAGACCAACAGGAGGGAAGACCGAAAGCAGGGAGCAGAGGCAGAGGAGCCACCTGGGCAGGTGCATCTGGCTTTCCTCACAAAGTCAGGCAACTACMGCAGAGACAAGGTCAACATAGTGGCCACTTTGGGGCGGGGGGGCGGGCTCCAAGGGCTGGAGGAACAAGGGTAGCCCCTGGGTGCAGAGGAAATCCTCAGGCCTCTTTGCGAGTTCATGGAAGGGTAAAAGCCCCTGCAAGCTGGCCCACCTGTGCCTGGGGACTGGCCACACAATCCCAGGCAAGGTATATCTCATCTAAGGATGGGAATCAGCCGGTGGGAGAGATTCTCAGAGCCATGGCACAGGCTGACCACCATGTTACTCTGGAGACACAGTAATTCAAGCAACAATGAAACTACTTAAGAGATAAAGTGCAACTGTTTAAAAGGTTGGAAGTAAACAGCAGAAAGATCAGCAGAGTGCTCAGAAGGGGATGGAGACGGAGGAGGGGAGGAGGGGAATGGAAGTACAGGGGACTAGATTAGAGCAAATTATAGTCCATGCTTTTGTAATTGTGTCAGGATGAATCCTAATGTTAGGCATAACTGAGAAGAAACAATAAAAAAATTGGGAACCACAGAATCTTTCAACAAAGATCTTAAGAGAGGTGGTCATTCACAGGCAATGAGGGCTCAACTTTGTAGGACGCTGCTCTCAAAATCCCTGCTTGATTTCCTCACTTGACCCTCACAGAGCCCTAACAATGACCCTACAGATAGACACTGGTGTCCTCAGGTGACATGGAGTCAGACAAAGAAAGTCCAGGCATCTCACAATTGGTGGAGTTGGGACTAAAATCGTGTTTTCTATTTTAAGACATTATGGTTTTTCATTACCCAGTGCACAGAAATGTAGAGAGCCTTCTAAAGAAAACACACACTGATTCTTATCACATATTGACTGAATTCTATGTAAAGTATCTGTATAAACAAGTTCATCATATGGTTAGGACCGTCCATAGTGTGTCTTGCACTGAATATTAGTTCAAGATGCACACTTGGCTGTGATAGTGGGTAAGGCACCACCAGCACTGTACAGCGTAATTTGCTCCACTGAGTAAACTGCAGAGCAAACCATGGCTCCAGGTTCCTCTCCTTCCTGCATCCCCTGCTGTCTTGCAGATGTACTGTTTGAACACAAGTCAGGCCACTTTCCTGACCACCAAGCTGAGGTTCCTAAGCAGCCTCTCCCCTCACATCCTGCCAGTAGGTGCCCAAGGCCCACCCGGAAACCTAAGTTTCAGGTGGAGGTCCTCGGGCTGTGGGATCCTGTTCTCACATGACTCCCCTGCTCTCCGCAACCTCCATTCCCTGAAGTTCTGTGACTGGGACTTGGGGGGCTGGAGCCCTGAGCTGAGACCAGGATCCCAAGGGTCTGCACATGTTGGTTTGAGAAGGAGCGAAGCTGGGAATGCTTGGAGTGGTGCTCCTGCAATGTCCCCAGATCATGTCTGCAACCAGCACTTCTGATGTTGTGAACTTTGTGTCCAGCTAAGGAGCAGCTTCAGAACAGTGCAGTGGGAGCAAGAAGCCCTGGGTGGGGTGGGGGGACACGGCAAGTCATCTCCCTCTCTACACTGAGTGGCTCCCATGCTGGGCCCTGGGCGGCTGGGGATCCCAGCAAAGGGAGACAGGCCCAGAACCCACTCAGATGGCATGTGACCCACACCACAGTGCAACAGACAAGGGACATAGGTTTAAAAGACGCCCAAAGAAAGGCAGAATATTAGAAGTTGACTCAACTAGCATTGGGCTTGAAGATGCAGTTGACACCAGTGTCACTTAGGATCACACAGTTGTTGCCAGCAGAAGACAAGTGAGAGCGAAGAGGAGAGCAAAAAGAGCCACTGTGCATCTGAGCTAGAGCCTAGCAGAAAGGCCATCACAGTGAAGCAGATCCAAATGGAAAAGAAGGAAACACGGAAACGTATTAACAGTAGCCATGATCACCAATCCAGGATTCGATTCTTTCCAAAACCCTTCAAAGAATCTTGGTCATATGTTTCGAACAAAAATCTAAGCTTTCTGCAGAATGCCAGCATCAACACATCAACACAGAATCCAGCCCAGCAGGATGTGCAGCCAAACCTCAGTAACCCGAGGAATGCAAAAAGCATTTTCAAAGTTAAAAAAGAATGCACCAGGAAGGAAGGTCTGCCTGGAGGCCCCATTTAAGGAAAAAAGTATAAAGAGTGGTGGAAAGTAGGGAGCTCAGGCTGCAGAGAATGTGAACCCACTGTGTGTAGGGCCTCCAGGGCTGGTCAAGGCCAGGCTATGGCCAGGACAGGCATACCTCAGCTGGACAGGGAGCCGGCTGTCACAGCTCCACTGCCCAGAGGCCCAGAGGCCAAGTTTAGGTCCACCACCCAGGGGGATATGGAGCCAATGGGCTTCAGACTGCAGTGAAGAAATGAAGTGCCCAGGGTCTGAGATGCAGAGGCCTCCTGTGCTCAGGGACACCTCGTGGTAATCTGAGCAGGGTGCATGGAAACTCTTGGGTGCGGGTACCTTGGGTCTGGCTGCTGCGATACCATCACGAAAACTTGTTGTTATTGTGAATGGACAGGAGCTGGTATGGACACACCTCCCAAGCCAAAGCCTAGGGGTTCAGCAGAAGACTGCTGATGCCTTGCAGAGGTCTGTCCATCCATCGGCTCCGGGCCACTGAGTCACAGCCTCTGCCGGCCGCCTGACTGTTCTCGCTCTGTGAAGCCTCTGAGCCTGTCTCCAGCCCAGGGGCTCTCTTCCCAGACTTTGCTCACACATACTCTCTGCACATGTCCCTTGGAACTCATCCTGGGCTGGCTCTGCCTGGCCCTGTGACAGGGCAGTGTGCAGAACCAAGATGGCATCAGGCATAGCACCTTCTAGGCCTGAAGGATGGGGAGGGGAGAGGGGAGAGCTAAGCAAGACATGGAGAAGGTGCCCTAAGAAACTGACCAGGGGAGAGTGGGTGCCCAGGAGGTCTTGGAGCCGAGGCCTAGGGGCCGCTGAGTGAGAGGGCAAGGTGGGGGGTTTGCACAGCCACCAGGGAGCCAGGATGTGTGGAGAACCAGGTGGGCTGAGGCTGAGTGGCGATTCAGCCTCAGTCAAGGTCAGTGGCAGGGAGTGGGCTCCTTGTCCTGCTGATGCGCTGGAGGCAGGAGGGAGGGGCCTCGGAGGAACCAAGGATGGCTGGGGCCATTCTGAGGGTCAGGCAGGGACAGGCGATAGGGAGGGCACCTCTGTGGGCTGCTTGTGAAGCCTTCCGGGCAGACAGGGAATGGGGCGGTGGGGAGTGAGGAGATTCACAGTGACCCTGTCTCCTCCAAGACGGCGCTCCTCGTGYTCCAACCTGGCTCCAGGAGCAGCCTGGAGCCCTCAGTTACCTGTTGTTGCAAGCTCCCGTGATGAGTCTGTACTTGTTTGCCAGGCAAGAGTCGGGACATTTTGGTGGCAGCATGTGAGGCAGGCATCCGGACAGGTTTGCCACCAGGCTCAGCAGGTCTTCTGGGAYGGCATCTGAGAGACAAGCGGCACAGCCTGACTCTCTGCTTGTGGTATCCAATCTAGCTAGCAGAGCAGGCCTGCAGAGTGTCGGTGCTGGGGTCCCGTCCTGAGCAACCTGACCTTCTCGTGAGAGTCTGCCTCCCCCTTCAGCTGATGGCTCCCCACCGGAGCTGGAAGCCATTCGGCTTCCTTATTGCCAGGAAAGTGGGGTTTTGCTTTGTGATGTTTCAGAAAAGCCACCCGAGGGCACTGCGCTCCTGGGAGGAAGGCCAGGTCCCCTTCTCAGAATCTACCAGGCTCAGGGCACAGCTCCAGGGCCGAGCCATCACACCAGGACAGGAGCTGTTCCCAGAGTGGCTGGGTCTGCCAAGGACTGAGCAGGGAGCACTCATCCCCATGAAGCCCGCCTGGGTCAGGTGGACAGAGCTCACCTGTCCATCCATAAAGCCCTCTGTTTTCCTTTCTGCTGGCTCTTGGTTCCCTTCTTGTGAATCCCTCTAGACTGGGTCCCAGAAAGCAGTCTGTTCTGTTCTATTTTTTTCCAACTCTGTCACTATTTGTTATTTAACAAATCAAAGGGCTACTTGCTGTCCATTAGTAGAAGCGGCCATCAGCTRCCTCTTCAAGATGGTTCATGTCATGAAGACAAAGCCGTGAAACTTTGTTTACTCAGGCACCAGTGACACTGAGGTATCTACTGGAGTAACCCAGGAGCAAGGCATTTCCTCTCCCAGAGAGAAGGAGCAGGCCTCAGGAGAGTGACCACCAGCACTCCCCGAGGGACGGTGAAGCCTCACCCTTGCGTCAGCTTATAGTGATGGGCCTGTCTTTTACTTTAGAGCACAGCAGCGCCCTGTTCCGTGAACCGTGTGGGCACCGCCATGTGAACAACAGAGGGTAAGACAGCCTGGACGGAGGGCACACACCCTGCGGCCGTGGCTTGGCCTGAAGGGCCTGGCAGGGTCTCCCTGGACCCTTGACTCCTCTTGCCTTCTAAATGCTCCAGCTGGCTGTACCCATGGTGGAAATACTCTGAAACTTCCTGTGGAGTGCAGTTCTCGAATGGCCTGGGCCAAACCCAACGGCCCACTTCCTGAGCGCCTGCTTCCTGCCCGGGCCGTGGGCCAGAAGACCCACGTCTCCGACACCAGTACCTGGCATTTTCCTGTCATGCCCATTGCCACCCTGACTGATTCATGATAGGACAGGGGACCAACATCCTTAGAAACACCTTTAACCCCATGATTCCAAAAACAAAGCCATTCTGAATGAATTTTTGGTGGCAGTAAAATCAAGAGTGTTAACTGTTAAGTTCGGGACCTGAGAATTCTAGCTCATCTATCCACTGAGTTCATGGCATTCTCAAGGCTGGGTGAACAGCACTGGATGACCTGTGACAGCAATCCGGGAGCTCCGAGGCCAAGCACTCAGGCCCTGCCCTGAAAACCCCTCTCAGAGCTTAGAGGACCCTAGTTTCCCAGTTCCTGCCGCAGGGCCAGGACACGGGCGCTTCCCCGTCTTCTCAGCAGCCTCAGTACTGGTGCCCACAAACTCGTTCCCCTGCAGCCTCGGCCTGAGAAGCCAGCCCTGGGCCTCCTTCAGGAGAGGCGCTCTCTGCCTAAGCTCCGGAAGCCTCTGCCCAGTGGGGCTGCAGCTAGAGCTGAGAGGCCTGGCCCCGCTGCTGCTCCCCAGCAGTTGTGCCCTCTGAGCACCCCAAACACCACGGGTGGGGGAGCTGTTGAGAAGTCCCGGCTTCTGCACACCACAGAAGGGTGTTGGGCTGGTCCTCCAGACTGGATTTGSAAAACAGAGAACCAGCATTTCCTAGACTCCTACCGAAACAAGAGACGGACCTTTCAGGCATCCTAGGAAGGTGCTGCTTGCCCTGGTGAGACCCGGCTTCTCTTAGTAAAGACACCCTACCCAAGCGCCCCCCAGGAAAGCCCAGGTGCCTCCCAGGAGGGCCCGCGGGGCCAGAGGCGCTTACCCAGGGGATGCTGTGACTGCTGCAGCCTCAAGGCTTGCAGGGAAGTCTCCATGATCTCTGCTGCTCGTGAGATAGCTCTGCTGCTTGGCTCAGTGAGCTTAGAAAAAGACAGAAGCTCAGCCGGGGTGGCAACTTCTCTCTTGTTGAGGTTCCTATGGCACAAGAAGGAGATAAAAGTAAAGTATGTGTTTTATGGTGGCTTTGATACTTAATTACCAACAAATGAAGCATTTATTGAGCAACTACACGTTCCAGACAAAACTCTGGGCACTGTGCAGGGTACAAAAATGGAGCTGATACGATTAAAAAAAATTGGCAGGATATAAAGATGACTAGTACATCAGTATTGAATGGTGACAAAAATGACCAAGATTTTCTTTTTATAAAACTTTCATATCAATGGTTTGATTCTCATTCCAATTATTTGGTTCTTATCAAAACTCAGCTAGACGTCATTTATTCACACCTACCCAATGAAAGGGGAAATGGGCATGTGCATTTTTGTCCAGGCCTTGGGGCCACAGGTGTCTTAGCTGCAAGTGACTGAGGCGAGATGCAGAGGCCCGGCTCACCACAGCATCACCCACCCTGACAGAAAGCAAGACCCACGAGGCCAGGCTCCCCTGCAGGTCCACCTCCCCAGAGGCCAGCCCTGTCCTCCTGTGCTGTGCTATAGCTACAGTATTGTATTTTACACTGAAAACTTGCTAAGGGAGACCAAGTGCTCTCATCAAAAAAATAAATAAACTAAAAATGATATAATGTGGATGGGAGTGAAAGTATTAACTTGACTGTTGGATGAGTTCCCTTTGCACGTCCATATCAAAGCATCACATTGCACATCTGAAAACCTAGGATACAAATAGTATTTAAAAACCTTATAAATACTATGATTGTGCTCACTTTACAGATGATGAAATCAGCCCCGTGGAAGTTAAGCGGCTTCTGGCAGCTGGACAGCAGTGAGTGATGGCACAGTACTGAGACCCAGAAATCACACACAAGAAACGCTAGAAATGAGCCAGCACAGCAGGTGTATGTGCCATGCATCTTAAAATATGAAACACTTGCTTTTAGATCTGCCAACACATTTGTAAAAGCTGCTGGTGGCAATGAGCTCTGGGGAGACAGATTCCCCGACTTGTGAGCTGAACAGCCTGAAAGTGTCAGGCCTGCTGGCCAAAGAGGAGATCGGGGTCAGGGACCAGGCGCGCCGTCCCTCACTGCAACGGCAGAGCTGCCGCCTCTTGGAGTCACGCTGTGGTCCCCAGGCACACTTCTTTCCTGGGGATGGCTATGGGAGATTCTGAGCAGGGAATCTGCTAACTAGAGAGACACTTGGGCATAAAAACCAGCCTGAGCATCCTGAGAAGGCCCCTGGACACTGCTCTTGTTCCAGGCTAACCCAGCGGACCTGAGTCCCAGGTGCCCCTGGCCTGCCTATAGGCCAACCCTGTGAAGAGTCATGAAGCCTGTGCCCGCTGGGAATTTCACCTCTCCCCAGTGCCGTACAGCCATGCCCAGGGCCTGACCTGCAGACCCACACTCTTGGCTCCAGTGCTGCGAAACTTGGGGAGCTGCTGCTTCAGCACTGCCTGCACTGGTCCCTCCGAGGCACCACAGGGCCCCATCCCTCTGAGCCCATGGTAGGACCAAGGGCCAAGTCACACAACCTTGTGAGGTTTGCTATTTGCTTCAGAAACATTGGAACCATGACCTCTAACCACAGAGCCCACTTGCTCCTGGAGCTCACACCCACACCCACACAAGCACACTCATACTCCACATGCACGTTACATACACCACACCATCCAGGCCCAACAGGCACACAGCACACACGCAGCATCCCTTACTATCCTCACACTTGACATGTGAGAAACACAATCACATTCATGACACACACAATATACACACACACCACGTGCATGTACATGCACACAGAACACACAAAAAAAACCCTTGCACACATGCACATGTGTGCACACACAACCCCGTCCTCTATCATCTCTTCCCAGAATATTTGTAACTACAGTTGAATCACGGTGCTTTTGCTCTTGCTTTGCCGGGAAGGGGCTTGAGATTCAATACAGACGGCTAGGGCTCTTAGGGACACTGGGAAACTGACCAGACTCACAGGGGCTCCAAGTCCTGATCTTAAAATGGGCTGCAGCTGGTCTTGGAAGTGAATGTGAACTGGTTAAGAAGTGGCAGGGGACCTGCCCCGAGACAGCCAATGCCCCACCTTACCTCTTCATGGTGTCGTAGACAGCGTCGTCCACCAAGCGCTGGCTGGCCTCCAACACAGGGAGAATGAGGGACATCCCAGTCTTCCCTAGGGAATAAATGGCTACATTCAGAACCCAGCCATAGGCCTTGCTGGCACTTCAGACCTGGTGCCCAGTCCAGCTGCTGTGGAGGTAGCCATGTGGGCAGGCATCTCAGGTGCCAGTGGGTTACTGACCCTGCATGGGCCGGCATCCACCAGGATGGGAGCCAGCTCCCCCACATAGCCATCAGGCAGGGTGGACTCATCTGAACCCCTTTCCCAGGTGCTGGAACACCCTATGGCTCAGAGTAGCTTTCTTTCTGAATATTTTAGTTTATAATAGTTCCCTGTTAATCTGTGCATTTAACAAAAGATAAGTTATTTAAATATTCCAGTTTCCTGTGAAATCCCTCTCTTGTGTTTTTCTCCCTTTCCTGCTGGGAACGTTGGGTAGGTCAGTGTTCCTTCTCTGGTAGAAGTATGAGGTCCCTGTGTTGTGGATGGTAGTGGCCCAGCCACTTCTGCCACCAGGAGAGCTTTTCCATAACCAGCACCTTGTAGAGGAAATTCACTTTTTCCTAGAAGTAAGTGGAATATCAGAATGCTTTTGAGCATGACACGGCTATATGGAAATAAAACTACATTTGAAGAGGTAAAATTCAATGGTTTGGGACTAAAGTAGCACAGCCTATTCCAGAAAATTGAACTGCGTGGGCCTAGCAGGATTATCACTGATTGCCTCTGTCCCGGTATTTATCTCATGGCTTCAAAGCCAGAAGAAACACCGGGACTGAGTCTGGGACACATCCAGAGGCAGGTTGGTGTCCAGGCCTGGCTGGCCAGCCCCTGGTCTCTGACATCCACCTCTATCCTCAGTCAGGGGGGAGAGGGCACTGTGCAAATCTGTGTCCTCCTTTCAGGCAAGGCAGAGCAGAGAGCTTTTCCAGAACATGCTTCTTCTGAGCACCTCAGCTCAAGGTCATTCCTGTCAGTGCCTCAGCTCAAGGTCATCCCTGTGCCTGCTGGGTGGGCTGGGCCTCCATCTGACCCTGCCATGCCCTTCAGAGTTGCACGTAGCTCTCCATTCAGTCTTTTCTTTGCAGAGGTATGGTACCCGAGGAGTGTGCTTCTCAGAACTGATTATGAAATTCTTCTGAGTTCCCAGCTTAGTTCCTTGATCAGGAAACTCTGTCCCATCTCGGGCAGTCAGTGTGAGCACCAGCTGAAGGTCACCTCTGCTCCAGTAGGATGCAGTGACCCCCAAGTTCCCCTGTGCATGTTCCCCTCACATGGGAGTGTTGGAATTCAGGAAGCCGCTGCACTAGAAAGTATTGTATTTCAGGACAAAAAGAAGTTACTAGTTCCACAAGTGTTCACTAAAACCAAGCAAAAAAAGGACAAAGAGCCCAAATCTTCCTTCTCCCAGACTCTAACCATCACAGCCCCTGAGGTTCACCCTTCACTAACTCTGAGCCCATGGCTTTTGCCCAGAGCTGTTTGGTCCTGATTTTAATGATCTCTGTTTGCTGAAATCCTGGGAGCTGGAGTGGAGTTTGCCAGCTCTCCTCTTTCAGCAATCCCCCTGCAGACTTCCCAGGCTTCTCCATCTTCAGCCATGTCTCTGCACCTAGGCTCTCTTGCCACTTACTTCTTTCAACATCTGTAACCTGCTGGGACACTGGACATAAAGACAAGGCCCTGTGCATCTGGATCTTGCACAAATATCAGAAACTATCCATCCAGGAACACAGGACCTCTGTGATGCATATTCCTTCAGGTTTTCGAGAAGGGACCAGGTCAATTTTTTCTCAGATCTGCAGTGGTCATGTATACATTTCTTGGGAAAGCAGAACATTTAAGTTTTCAAATATTTTTACTTCAGAATTTTCAGGGGTTTAGGGCTTTTTCCCTTTGTTCTTTCACCTTCTGGGAGGGTCTTCCCCACCAGGCTCTGCACCACAGAGGGCGAGTGCAGCGGGTCTGCTTCCCGAGCTGTGAGCAGAGGCACTGTGCACCCAGCCCACAGAGTCACGCCACTGAAGTAGCTGTGTTGAGATGCAGCTGATGAGATGATGCTTCAAGGGAAGCTTACCAGTGAATATCCAGTCCTGAAGCTACTGTCTTGCATGTCGACTGGTCAAATCAATTATCTTACACTAAAGGATGTAAAACTGAAACACCAAGAGACAAGTCATCTGTTCCAAGTAAGCAGTTCACAGAGTAAAGGCATCAAAGCCAGCTTCAAAATACCCCACTGAGCAGTCAGTCTTATTCCAGAGCACCCGGCTGCTGTGAATGCTGGAGTGAGCCTTGTCTACACATTGACTGGAAATAATCAAATCTAGAGATGGAGAAATGATCAAGTGTGCATCAAAGCTATAGACACCCTATTTCCTGATTAAAAAAAAATGATTCTAAAACCTGAAAACATTGCGTACAGAAAATCTTTATATTGTGCTGATCAGTTTGCAGGTTCAGCAACTTGCTGGTAACTAGCTACTGGACCCGTGACTTTTGTTACTGTGGTTTGCAGAGCTGGATGTGGTTTGCAGAGCTGAGCCCTTGATAAACTTGAAAGGAAGAAGCAGTTCACAGCCATCCCCATGCCCAGTGCCCACTGTCCCCATGCTGAATGTCCACTCTGTTAAAAGCATACTGTTTCACTTTGGGCCATGAGGCACAGAGTCACTGTTAACTTCTGCTAGTACTGGCCAGGGTAATGCACTCCCTATATTAATGCTCACCGGGGATGACCATGATGGGCAGCTCTCCTGTCCTCTGCAGTGGTAGGTGAGGACCTGGAGTTAGTAACAGGAACAGGTCCACTGGTCCCTGGCCAGGATGCTGCAGGAAGAGGCTGGGGGAAGCAGTGACCCTATCCTTAATGCCCAGACAGCCTACACCACACTGTGTCCATAAGGAGTTTGAGAGTCGAGATGGACTGCAGAGGAGCATCAGTATGGTCATAAGGTCCTGGTCGTCAGAAAGGCTGGACAGAAGGTGGCTTCCAGCAGGAGGCAGAGCTGGCAAGGGCTCCAGGGCTGGATGTCCCTTTCAGGACCAGGAGTCTTAGGGTCTGTCAGGCTGCACATGGGCCAGTGATGTCCAGGGGCTCAGGCCTGGGGGGCCAGGGTGTGTCCATGCAGCTGAGGGTCTGGCCAGCCCTCCAGCATGTTTTTTTTTTTTTTTTTAACTGAAGAGTGACTGTTTTAAGCTCTGCATCTCCTTAGCTTTCTTACCCTAATTCTGTATGGTAGCACACTGATCCAAAACCTACACCACAGAATCTACTTCATGAAAATTTTGTTCATGAATAGATGTGTGAACTGTGAAAAATGGAAAATTCTAAATTCTGTAATCTTAGGAAAATTAGTTTTTCATAAAAATCGTTTTAATCCATTTGAGCCCAGGAATTGCCTTTTTGTTTTGAAAAGCCTCCCACAGGTCACTAAAGTGGGGTCAGGGATGCTCAGGAGCTACGTCAGGCTCTGTATGCTGGTGAGAATGACCATCCTGAGGGTACTCACCCCACCGCAGTCCTCTGCCTCCCAGGATATAAAGGAAGAACACTCCGGCACAGGCTGCGGTCAGCGTGAGGGTCAGTGCGGTCGACMCCCTCATCCTGGGGCTGGAACGGACGGGCGGAGCACAGGGCACTCAGCGTGAGTCTGGGTCCTGGAGTCTGCCTCCTGCTCCCACCCTGCAGTCGTGTCCCACCGGAGCCTGAGGCTGCCCTGCACGGCTCTGAGTGGCCCCCAGGGCGGGAAGACCCCCGGTCAGAACCAGGCCTGAGTGTCCCCCGTGCCCTGGCTTGCAGATGGAGCTCTCAGGTCTGACAGCCCCAGGCACCGCGTTTCCCAGTCACGCGGGGTTTAGGAGATGGCCTGGGACTTCACGTGGAACACTGCTGGGAATAAAGAGATCTATTTCCCTGGAATCTTTGTGGAACAAGTAACTGATATTAGGAATCCTGCATTTGAAGGAAAGGTAACTAAAAGCCGTGTGTCAGCACTCACACTGGCCCAGGCTCCCAGGACTAGGGCTCTTTAGACCAGGCACAGCCGCTGGTACCGCCTTTACCTTGTTCCTAGCAGCAGGCTCTCTGTACCTGCGCCTGGCCAGGTGCTAAGGAGGACTCCGCCAGCCCTCTTCAGCGGCAGTCACAGAGGGAACAGCTTCGCCAGCCGCGCTTTGCCAGGAGAAGCTGCCCGTGCCGRCCTCGGCCGCTCTTCAAGGGCCACTGACAGATTTCTCCTAAGGGAAAGTCTTGAGGCTGGGCTGGGGCTCAGTGGCAGAGGGCTCACTTAGCACGTGTGAGGCCCTGGGTTCCACCCTCAGCAACACATAAAAATAAACAGATAAAATGAAGGTATTCTGTCAGACTCCCACAAAAAAGACATATTTAAATAAAATGGGAAAGTCAGTTTCACAGCCCACCTTCCTGGCTCTGCTCGGGAAGGCGACCAGCGTGTGTGGTTGGGTGCTTACCAGTCGCGAAGTCTCCTGCAGTGTGGACCTGACCGCCCCAGGCCTAGTTCCCACCACATAAACCCACTCTGCTCTGCTGCCCTCTCAAGTGGCCGGAGGTGGAGCAACTCCAGCTTCCTGGCCACAGAACCCTGGTTGGTGCCATTGTCCCTGGGCTGGGTCCTCCTACACCCTGGCTGGCCAGACTCCCGTGCAGCATCATGCTGCACATGCAGTCCACCCCTGCCCATGAGTCAGAAGGCCTGGGGGTGGAGGAGGGGAGTCTCTGTAGCTGTGAGTGTGGTGAACAACCACAGCGGATCCATCCCCACTTGTTCTCGTTTCTGTGATGGTCTCTCAGGAAACTCCACGTGAACAGTGCGTGTAGTGGCAGTCTCTGCACTGTGCCTGCATCCCCGGGACTTACTGGTCTTAAACCCAAAGGTGTGCCTTTGATTGGCACCTCCATGGTGCCCCCCCAGCCCTGGAGCCACCTTGAATGCTATACATTTGGCCCTCTGGATGCCACACATGAGGGAGAGCATGATGAATGTGTCGCTGTGCCTAGGTCTCTGTGTCCGTGCTGTTGGCATTCTACTGTCAGCAGTGACAGATCTGGCTGTGCTTCCAAGAGCAGCTGACTGTGGTGAAGGAGGCTCAGCCCCGGGGTCTCTGAGCCACATGGGGTCAGCCTTGAGTTCTGGGTAGAAAAGGACGCTGAGGAAGAGCTGGGAACCGGAGTGGTGCAGTGGGCCTCCGGGTGCCTACTCATGTAGCTCTGAAGCTTGCCCAGTGGCCACACGAGTCCTCACGGGGCAGTGGAGAGGGCACAAGGGCTCTGTCACCCCCCAATCCTCTGAAATCACCTCAAGGGAAATGAGACTCAACACTTGCTCAGCTTCCCAGAAAAATCTGAAGGGTGATTCAGGTTTGTTCTGAGCCTAGTCCAGTCAGACACAGCTAAAGACACCCGGTTTTGACTGACAGAGATTGGACTAGCAGACGGGGCTCCCTCCAGCAAGCCCAGAGGCTCTGCGGTTAGTCTTGGGGTTTCCATAACCCTGATGTTGCTCAGGGCCAGAAGGAAGCTGGGTTCTAGGAGAGCAAGGTGTCTCCAGGGCCCCAACTGCGGTCCCACAGCGCCAACTTCAACCRAAAAGCAGATGTGTTCCGATGCTCCTGGGGAGGCTGGCCGCAGAGTGGCCACTGGGGCACCTCTGACAGCACCGGTTCTTGATGCCCTCCGAGAGCCATCTTCTCTGCCCAGTGTGACTCTCCTGCCTGTAGACATTCYTGCACATTTGACTAGAGGTGGAGAGGCAGATCTAGTCCAGATGCCACAGAGTGCTCACAAAAGCCAGAGCGGACGGGGAATGTGCTGTCGAATTCCCTTATTGTTGAAGAGTTTCTTCCCTAGATTCAGTCTTTCCTGGAGCCTCTTCCTATGTGGAAGGGAACACAAGAATGTGATTAAACCTTGAGATTGCTGTTGTACAAGCTGGGTTTGGCCTTGGAGTCTCCATGCCTCCAGCTCCGCCGGCCCAGTCCACCACCCTACATGGTCCTAGAGGCTAGAAGGGCTCCTTGGCCCTCCCTGATGAAGGCAGAGTGAGCCGTGCACCTCACACCTGCCTCCAGGTGCATGTGGCCCAATTGTACCTATGTTCTGAGTCTGGTTTCTCCTCATCGGCAGCTCTGTGCACTAGTCACTGAGCCATCCCACCAGCCAGGTCCCTCACCGGAAGCAACCAGTGGTCCCTCACTGCCAGCATCCATTCAAACATGCTTGCAGTTTTCCAAGTAGGGGCAGGGTGTCCTTCCCCAGAGGGGCAGGAATCCAGGCCAGGGATAGCTCAGGCCCATCAATAAGAGCCAACTTCTAAGGAGCAGAGAACTGACCACTCTGATTTAATTAACTGATCTTCTAAATTGCTCAAACCAGTTATGTGCTCATCTGTAGCCTTGGACACCAGCCAGCTGACCCATGGCACACTCAAGGTCATGGAATCCAGGGCTCTGCCCTAAAGCCAGGGCCCGCCAAGACTTCAAAAGAGCCACCTGTGCCTTTGACGTCCACGACCCCAGTGGCGCCTGCCTTTCAGAGGCTCAGTGGGGTGTGAGGAGCCCCTCAAGAGCCCTCCAGCGGCTCCAAGTCTTGGTCAGAGCACATTCAGGCTCATGGGAGGGCCCTGAGCGTCACGGCCCAGCGACCCTGAGAACACATGGCCCCACAGACCCACTTAATTGCTCCAGTGGAGTGCTCTTGGAAGCGCTAGTCCAGGCCTCTTTGGGGTGCAGTCTGAAGACAGGGTCTCAACAGGTACAATCTCCCTCCACCCCAGACATAGGAAGGTTGCATAAATGTCCTTATTTTCATAACTTTAGCTTGCTCCCGAGGGTAACTGGGAYCTCAGTGTCAGACGACGTGATGACCATCTGGCTTATAGACCATCGATGACCTCAGTTTCTATTGGGTATCAGACACCACAAGTGATGAGTTGTGAGCAAGTAACTAGGGGCTTTTCTGAGKAGAAAGGAAGTGGGCTATAAAAATAACATGCCCTTCTTAAGCAGAAGAGGACAGGTATGCAAGGGGCGGGTTGGTCAGTCTGTGTAACAACTGGTTGTGGCAGAGGGGTTGAGCTTCTGCACTTCTGAAACCTCTTGTTGAGTCTTGCTTAAGACCTTCCTCGACTGCTGGCAATGGGAAGGCCCAGGCCCAGGGACTCGCGCAGARCACCAAGGAAACAGAGGGGTTTGGTCCTGAACTCTAACTGGGCGGCGTGAAGGACACTGGCCTCCCCCGGCTGAGCTGGAGAGGGTCCAGCATCCAGKGCGCCACTGTGGGTCCAGGAGAAGCCTGGGAAGGAAGCTGGGGCTCCTCCCAGGGCTGGGATCCAGGTGCCCACAGGCTGGTCTTTCCCTCTGAGCAGGAGCCCGGGAGGCCCACTCCTCTGTGATGTGTGTCCCCAGTGCAGATGTGACACGTGGGGCGACTGGGGAGTCTGAGTCAAGTCCACAGATTTCCAGCAGAGTCCAATACTGAAGTGCCTGAGCAGGGCATTGGACACAAAGCCCCTGTGGTCAGGTGGTGGGGACACAAAGCCCCATAGGTCAGGCAGTGGGGACACAAATCCCAGTGGTCAGGTGGTGGGGACACAAAGCCCCAGTGGTCAGGTGGTGGGGACACAAAGCCCCAGTGGTCAGGTGGTGGGGACACAAAGCCCCAGTGGTCAGGTGTTGAGAGCCACAGCCAGTCAGAATGACGCCTGGCCTTTGCCAGAGGGAAT